TTCTGATTATTTAAATAGTTAATATTTTTAAGTGCTAAAGTTAATGTTAAAGTTAATGTTTAATGGTGACCAAAGAGACTGCAGCTCAGCATTTATAAGTACACCTCTTACAAATCTATATTTTAAATTAATATTTTTAATAGAAAGCTACTGTATACAATATTATATTTTGAATGTACATTAAATTGGTCAGTACTCTAGCCAAATCTGGGGCTTATGTTACAAAATTACTTACGATAATTGTCCAAAGACAAGTACACCCAAATTTATGTTATAGAAAATATAAAATACAATTTTTAAAAAAGGGGAACAATCAAGAGAAGCAAAAAAAAAAATAATTTGTTAAGATTTTGCAGATTGTCATTTATTTTTGCAATATTTTAATTTAATTTTATCTTTCAATTTCTAAATAAGTATATCTGTTTAATAAACCGGTTTTGTTTAAATGCACCCAAAATACATCGCCTATATTCAATGAGAAATGGATCAAAATATTCATTTTCAAAATGGGGTGTACTCAATTATGCTGAGCACTGTACACAAAACACATATGGATCTATTTGTTTTACATAGTGTAGATTTAAAAAAGTAAATATTGTTAACAATGATCTGATGACCACATAAAAATATGGATATAATTTGAAATCATGTGAAAACCATCCATCATCTGTATCACTTATAAAAAAGCTTTTTTTTTTTTTCTTTTTTTGGCATCGGTGATTTAAAAAAAGAAACTTTCTTTACAGTGGAAAAATAAATCCTAACACCTATACACACTCTTTCACACACATACACTACGGCCAATTTAGCTTATTCAATTCACCTATAGTGCATGTCTTTGGACTGTGGGGGAAACCGTAGCACCTGGAGGAAACCCACGCCAACACAGGGTGAACAAACTCCACCCAGAAATGCTAACTGACCCGGCCGGGGCTCGAACCAGCAACCTTCTTGCTGTGAGGCGATCGTGTTCAGGGCTGATAGTGGAAAAAATTCCTGAGCCTGAACTTTTTTTCCTTGCCCCTGAGGTGAGTAGGGGTGGGTATGCAACGCACTTTTAACACATAACTTGTGGGCCCCTGGGCCCAAATATATTAACAGCCTATGTGTAACCCTGATCATCATTATTGTCAAGTGGCTCTTTTTAGACACATGCCAGTAATGTCAGTGACACATGCCAGTGTCAGTGATCTTGTGACATGTGCCAGTAGGTGTCAGTATAAGCACGTTATAAGCACATTAATCTTGACTTTTATATGACTACGAATACATAAAATAAATGCTTTTAAATTAAAACATCGTGGAGTAGCTCAGCAAATAAACTAACTTGCGACGCGATAAATTAGGTTAAAAGTCGCGTAATGATTAAATATGGTTTTGCTCGTGTTAATTAATGTCATAAGCTTCGCCGGGTGTCGATGTCACTGCAGTGACATGCAGCGCGACACTCTGAGAAACACAGGTCACTACACATGCCACTAGCGAGTGACACATGACAGTGGAAAACCGGACGTGCCACCGGAATGTGCCAGTGTCATCTGTACGTCAGATGTCGTGTCACTCCATGTTAAAACTGCTACTGTGAATCCGCGTTCAAGCGCACACAATAAGCTAAAATTCGCCCCAAGCACCCGCAAAAACAAATAACAATGAATGTGTCGAGGAAAGTGTAAGGACATATCTTAATTATTTATTAATAAACTTATTCTGAGTCAGTGTCACAAAGATCCTGACTGGCAATCTCCTCTTGGACTCGCCTTTAGAAATTCATCTTTACGGATTACATGAAGGACTTTTTTTGTTTTCGATTTGTTTTATTTCGTTAAGTAATAATTTAAAGCTTTCTATAAATATATTTATTATGTCTGTGAGGCATATACATTTTGCTTCATTTTGTTAAGCGCTCCTGTTCAAAAACCAGACGACAGAAAGCGCATAGTTTTGGTTTTCTTTATGTTATAAAAATCGCTGTAACGTTTTTAGATGTATTACTCGTACTTAGTGAGCAAAAATGACGGATAACTTTAAATTGCTCCCACTGAAAAAATGCAAGTGATTGCTCTGGCGCCTCAATGTCCTGCAAGCTTTTTATAAGCAAACTATGCGCCTAATAGCACACATTCTTTAACGTATAAGCTACCATTGTTTTATACTTGAACTGTTTTATATCTTTTATTTTAGCCAAGTCGTGATGATCTGAGAAGGCAAACTGATCAAACAGACAATGATGGTCTTCCGCTGGGCGCTGTTCGTTAAAAAACCTTAATTTTAACGAATAAAAAATGCTCCAAACGTTTTTCTAAATAAGCTGAATAAAAAACGAAACTAAATATAAACACTTTGCCATTAGGCTACATACAAAACTGAACTATTTCATAGCTGAAACACTAAGTTGTTTAAGGAGAAGGGGGAAATATATTTTTGTCCCGTCTATTGCTTCACCGTTATTTCGAGAATAAACCCAGCGTAAATATGCAGATGTCATTCCCAAAACATATCAGCGTATATGTGCCGAAAACGAAAGTTTCATACAAATTCTGAATGGATTATAGCCTGGAAAGTGCAAAGCACGCTCCTCTTATTATCACTAAAAAGCGTCACTAATCATAGTTCATAGAGATCTCACAAAGATCCGTTATAATTTATAAAGCTCTCTAAATTACACAATGAATCTTTTATTTACATGGCGTCATACACTCAAAAGATGATTCACGAGCACACAAAATGGCACTTAATAAAAACCAATCCGGCGCTTTCAGCAGTGAGTGAATTCTGTGAATCTAGAGAAATGACAGATCAATATCTGTGAACCTGATTTTTTTTTTCCCCGCAGCCACAGTACGCCGGAAATCCGGCGTGGTGCCGGAACGCTATCACCCCTGCGTGTTACCCAGTGGTTAAGAAATGCAATCCAAACAAAAATTTTCTCTGTGGGGTAGTTAAAGGGACAAAAAAGGAAAATATATGAACCTAAAAAAACACATATGCAGAAAATAGTTTTAGATCTTGATTAAATGTTGCATAAACACTTTCATTTACTGATTTTTTTCCGGCTATATTTTATAACATGGTAAATTCTGATTATTTAATTCTTTTTAAATAATGTTTAATGGTGACCACTGAGACTGACATACACTAAGTGAAGTTAATTTATAAACTAATTTCGAGAGGATCACATACTTATGAGTGACTTGGCTGGCCACGCAGCGTATGATTCGCCAATCCGACGATTCCTGACTTAGTATAAACAACCAAAGCACCTTTCCTTAGACATCTTCGTCTTGAAGAATCCCCCCTTCCACCCCCTCTCCTCCTCTTTTTCCTCTATAGGGCAGCACGGCAGCCCAGTGGCTAGCACTGTTGTCTCACAGTGTAACGGAGGCCAGCTAGTGAGTGCTGTGCAGGTAAATATCACTCCTCTGACCTCTAAGGCAGGTCGCACACCAAGCGCCGCTCGGCGAAATGTCTATGGGGGTGAGTGTAACAGAGGCCAGCTAGTAAGTGCTGTGCTGGTAAATCTCACTCCTCTGACCTCTAAAGGTGCTCTAGCGACAGACGCTAGAGGCCATGGTCTTTAGCCTCCTTGTTAGAGCAACCGACTCCCATGTGGAACGTCACCGGTTCGATACCACTCGGAGCGGGTTGGGTGTTAAAGGACTGGCGGGGTTACAACAGCAAGAATGTCTCTGGTTCGGGTCTTTACCCAGCCAGCTGACATTTCTATGTGGAGTTCATGTTCTCCTAGTGCTCACGTGGGTTTTCTCCGGTTTCACAGTCCAAAACATGAGACATAAGTAAATCGACTAAACCAAATCAGTACCATAGACGTATTTCACCAGCAGCATACCCTCATAGCAATCCTAAGCAGCGGGGGGAGTTCTCAAGATCTACCTGAGCTCAAACTCCCCTCTCGCCCTGCAAACGGGAGGGAGCACCTAGCTCGAGGATCTTATGAGTTTAGGGCTCTCTCTCGGGACAGCATGCCAAACAAGCTTTACCACCAATCAATCTTGAAACACATAGAAAGAACACAAAGCAGAAACACACTAAACACAAATGACCTTTAAGTTTTTTTTTTTTTTTTTTTTTACAGTGGAAAAAGTTTCCCTAAGATTTTTCAATTCACAAAAAAGTATCTTGCTTTATTATTTGTCCATTGAAAGCTTTATTAAAATGACTATTCTCTGTCAAAACCTCTTTATTTTAAAAAAGCACAGGGTTATTTTTAGTACAGCCACCAATGGGTGAGTTTTAAAGATGTATATCTAGAGTTATGAACCTAAACCTGCATGTTTGCATTCCCCAGAAAACTGCGTGTTCGGGCACATGCAAGAAGGATATGACTGTTTCAGTCCTCATCTACCCCCTTCTCCATTGCCCACATTTCCTAAGATGAGTCACATAAAGTAAATATAAAGTACAAAGCTGTTGCCTTGGTGACAGCCAAAGCGTTGATGTGCCGAAACTCATGTTTACAATGTGAGCAGCTGTGTCTAACACATATTGATGAAGTGCACCTATATTTAGGTCAATCTGGAGATGGAAAGCAGCTCAGAAGTGTGTGCCATGTCCGTCCACGGTGTTTTGTATGCCACTGCACAAGCACAAGCACTTGTTGATGCTGTCTGAGGACAATCTGACAAGCTCAAGACCCTCGCTTTGCCATCACAGCAGCCTTCTTGAGGATCACCATAGAGACACCTTCAAGTATCTAATTTACCATGTAATTGTGCATGCTAAATAGATGCAGACTTTCTGATGGATTCATGCAGTGAGCTCACATCTGATGTGCATATATAGATCCTTAAAGACTATTAACAGCAGAAAATTGTATTGTTTTAAACTCTGAGAAGTAAACTGGTAGGTGCATAATAATAAAGCATGTGCTCACCTTGAAAACACAGCCCGTGTAATACCAGATGTTTACAGATGTGTCATTCCTTTCTCGGATACATTAATGCTACACGGTTTATGTACGGATGGAAAAGGCTGATTCTTACCTCAAAAAGGTGTGGGATCTGTCGTTTGGAGAGGTAATCCTTGGCGTCGTTTGTGTTCATTCTTTTGGCTTCTCCAGTCCAGAGCAGTGTTTGTAAGTCAGTGGAGCAGCAGCTGTGTGTGCGTGTGCGTGTGCGTGTGTGTGTGCGCGCTCAACTGTTGCGTTTCACCCTCAGAGCAGCTGCTGTCGTACACCATCACATTGGCTTGTTTCTCCGCTGTTTTGACGCCGATGACCTCCAGGCGATGTTTCTATTCAACAGTTGTTAGTCACGCTCATGAATGCCGAGTTCAAAGTGACCCTCAGCCACGCGTAATCACGAATAATCGACTTGTCTCGAGTATATTTTGGTTTTGGTAAGGATTTGTACGTCAGTGGCACTATATTTTTGTTATGTGCTTGAGGTGACTGTTTGTAAGCTACTTAATTTGATCGAATTTAGCCTCACCTATATGTTACAGTTAGCCACGATATTTTATAAAGAAAAATACTAATCAAATTGCGACTACTTTCAAGTATCTTTTGGTATCATTAAGGACTTGGAAGATAACGTTACGTCAGTGACACTATACTTTTGCTGTGTGTTTGAGGTTAAATATACTAAGCTATTAATTTGATCAAGCCTAAACCTATTTTACAGTTTGACACAATATTTTATTAAAACAAAAATCACGAATAATTGCCTTGTGGACTTGTTTCAAGAGTCTTTTGGCATCAGTAAGGATTCGTAAGACTTAAGTCGGACACTATTTTGCTGTGTTTGAGGTAAAATTTATTAAAACAAAAACACTAATCATGAGCATAAGCATTTTTTGCATGTGTTAAAGAATGGAGTCTTGTGAGACGTAGTCACATCATCACAAGTCACATTATTTTGATTTTTTCACACAAAAACATACTCGCTCTTTTAAAAATCAGTCTTGGGTTTTCATTGTTATTTAAGGAAGTTGAGGAAGGTCTCATCTTTGTTGTTTTTCATTTCAAGATTTTCACTCTTTGGCAATACTAAAGAAAAAAATGTATACATTCAGTACTTAAAATCCCTTTTAAAATCCACAGTTTAAATTAAAACAAGGAACAATACAAAACAATTGAAATAGGGAAATGGCAGTCTCGCAGTGATTTTATTTTACCAATCCAATTCATACCTTTTTGAACAAATATCTTCACTAGTACATAAAATAATCATGTTTTCTCATGGTAGGATATCTGGCTAGATATTGGCATCCAGTTCTGCGGAAAGCTCATAGTTTTGTCTAAATTAAGAAATCTTACTTGTCTATATATTCATATACAATAATATATTTAAGACAACCTCAACCTAACATTTAAAGCTCTCTATACTAATCAACTAACGTAAAACACCTCATTTTTTTTGTCACTTTTTGAAGAAAATCCCATATCAATTCATTAGGATTTTAATGCATTGAAAATAACCGGGATACCAGATTGATCATACAACAAAAGACATACTGAAATCATAGTAAAACATCACTTTTATTCCAATGAAAAAAGAGCAATGTTAAACAGTGCACCTTAAATGATTCTATCCACTTTCACAGTCTACCAATATGCACTAATTAATGCTAGGAATGTATTTACCCTGTCCTAAAACTGTTACTATTAATATTACTCATATTGGTCCCGCTTTACATTAGGTGGCCCTAATTAATATGTACTTACACTGAGATTTATAATTTGTTACTGTATAATTATTGTGTAAATACATGTTTTTACATTGTACTTATGATTGATTAAATACATCAATGGTATTACATCTGTAATTAACTTTTGACCATCGTTGACCATCGTTGACCATCGCTTACACCTTAACCCACTCTCAAACTTACCTATACCACTAAACATGTCCCTTATCCTACCCCTGTCCCAACTTAAGAGCACCACAAGTTCTGCAATACATTATGAACACAGCAAGTACATCATATTTATTTTTATACGCAGGCACATAATAGTTAAGGCTGCCTGATATAAAGGGGGACCCTCATATTACTTATCAGCAGATTAGACCACCACATGAACTGATGCATATAAGTCATGTAACTTCAGTGTCATGCCAAATGAAATTGCTCCCATCTGTTGGGAATCAGTGAATTCATATTCAGCATATGCTGAAACACTTTCCACTCGAGTTAAACGAGCACGCACCTGCTTAGAGATTATGCGCTGTTGTTTGTCACACCGATCTATACTGTTTCATTTGACAGCAGTTAGTAATATTATCCTTGGAAAGCATCAGTATGTTAATCGTTTTCCATGGTGTTGTTTTACTTGAAATCTGCACAACACTTTTCTGAAAGAATCATTATTTAACCCAGGCTCATTGCAAATACGTGCCTCAGCCTAGATTGTTGCAAAAAAGCAAAATACGTTCCTCCTAGTATGGTTCGTTGTAGACTTCAGATGACATATCCATTAGAGGGTGCTGTGTACATTTATCAACCCAGGCTCATTCTGAAAATGTACTGCTATATACATTTCTGGAGAGCGCCAAATGCATCCCAGTAGGTACGTTTTTTTTGCAGAGGTCACTGTGTAGGCTTTTTGAGATCTCAAATTTCTCTTGCGAGTGCCATTTGCTCTTGCTGTTTTCGCGCAAATCCACCAGAGGCCACTGTTGACTGACTAAATGACTGGCCAATCGACTGACCCACACTCCTCCTTCCCTAAACCCAACAAATAGTGTTTTCAAAAGCACAAATTGACTAGCACCCACCCACTTCCCTAAACCCAACCAACAGTTTTTAAAAGCAATCCAAAAAAGCGAAAAGCCCTCACCTGATTTATACCACATTTTCAGATTTTAACACTCTGTTATTCACTTGTTTATTTCGTTTTTTGGCTTATATTTATGTCTTACTCGCTATCTGGAACCGTTCTTTCTCAGACTTAAACCCTGTCGTCATGGTCATCTCAAGTTCGCCGACGGACATGGCGAACTACTGAACAAACTGGTAACAGCGGGAAAGCCTTCCATTTGTAGGTAAGCGGTTAGCTAGTAAGCGCGGAAAAGGAACGGTGTCAAACCGCCCTGTAGTGTCCGTTTTAAAAACTAAATGCAGCCATATGTAGCTCTGGCTACATAATTCGCAATCTCCAGAAATGTATATAGGGCAACGTTTTAGAATGAGCCTGTGTTGACATTTATGCAAATGTAAAAAATGTACTTATGGTGTGTTTTAGTGTTTTAGTTATACAGTATGTGTCATTAACACGTTTGTACACCTCCATAAGAAGTCGGGGCTTGTCATACAAATCACCTTGTAATTGACTGACCCAAATCTTTCCCTAAACCTAATCAATCGTGCTTTCAAAAGCAAACGTAAGAGAAAACTGCATTGTAGTTTTACCAACCCAAGCACGTTTCTGGAGACCGCGATTTACGTGGCCGGAGGTCACGTTAGTTTTTTTCGAGCGAACGCTGCGGGGCAGTGTGGCGTCGCTCCGCTCCTCCTCTTCGCGCTTGCCGGCCGACGGCTCGTCTCCAAGTGGAGGGCTTTCCCGATGCAACCAGTTTGTCCGCTTAGCTCACAGCGTTGCGTCGGCAGAGCGGAGGCCCAGAACAGTGGTTCCGGAAATCAGGTAAGATGAAAAACAGAATCCGAAAAATGAGGGCGAGAATGCGGCAGGATCTGAAAACGCGATCGAAATCGAAGATGAGGGCTTTTGCTTTTTTTTTTTTTTCTGGACGGCTTTTGCAAACCGTCGCTTGGGTTTAGGAAAGGAAGAGGAGGAGGAGGAAGAGGAGGGCGGCCGGGGCGGCCGATCTGGCGGCTTTTCGCGCGAAGACAGCGCGGGTACGAACGAAAGGATCCGCGAAAACAAAAACCTTTCAAATACGTACCTCCCGGGGACGTATCTCGCGGTCTGCAGAAACATCCGCGGGGCTACATTTCCACAATGAACCCGGGTTGAGTTTTACTTTGAATTTACATTGAATTGCATTGCTTTTACCTGGTTTGTGCATCCGACCTCCACCAAATTTGAACCCAAGTACTCAAGTACAAAACTGTACTACCAAGAAAACTGGCCAGTGCAGAAAAGTTATCCATATGGACATAGACAAGTGGAGGAAATTAATTCGATTATAAATCATAGATACTTTTAAGTTATTTTTTGATAATTATTTGTTGTTGTGCAAAGACCTGCACAGTGTAATACTTAAATGGTCATAATATGTCCCTGTAAATATCCAACATAGACTCATTCTGAAAACGTAGCCCTTTATAAATTACTGGAGATCACAAATAATGCAGCCAGAGATACGTATGGCTGGATTTCATCTTTAAAACAAACACTACGAGGCAGTAAGCTGACCCCTTACCTCAATATAGACGGCTTTTCAGCTGTTACCAGTTTGTCTGGTGGCTCACCATGTATGTCGGCAGACTTGTGACTTGGAGCAGAGTTGATCGCGATGACAGGGTTTGATGGTTCCAGAAAACACGTTGGACAAAAACAAACGGCAAAAAATAGGGCCTTTCTTTTTCTGGATTGCTTTTGAAAACTCGGTTGGGTTTTAGGCAAGTGGGTGGGCGCTGGTCAATTGGTGCTTTTGAAAACACTATTGGTTGGGTTTAGGAGAGGAGGAGGGTGGGTCAGTCAATCGGTTAGACAGTCAAACGACTGCAGCCCTTGGTAGATTTACGAAAACACAAACTGCATAAAACAAACGTACCTCCTGAGACGTATTTAGCGCTCTCTGGAAATGTAAGGGTACGTATTCAGAATGAGCATGGATTGTAAATATAATTGGTCTGAAATAGAACAAAAGTTGTTGGCATAATTTTCCGTAATAGCATTCATTTGACTTTCTGCAGTGAAATGTATGATAATGTACGTTTTTGTATTTTCATAAAAATGTAGGCTGCAGCATGTATTTCCAATGAGCCTGTTTTGCAATTAGAGTGTTTCTATACCCTCTGAATCAGATCTGTTGTATTTGGACTCACCTCAGAATATAACTTGACTGCAAAAATATGAAACAATTGAACATCATATAATCCTACCAATTAAAATAAACCTATATTACTCCCCCACTAAACCACAGCCTACTGGAAGACCTCTCAAAATGTGCATCCAGAGAGTTCGAGAGTTTGCAGAAGAAATTTGTGGAAGTTTCACAGTCTCTAGCTGGAGCCTTCTGAGGTTTTGGACTTATGATTTAAGTCTGTTTCATCCTTTTCATCAGAGCCAAAAGAAACCCGCTGTTCATCCATGCGTTTGGATTGCACTTTCTGAATTAGGCTGAAGAAGTCTTCATCTGGGTCAGGCGCTGGAGGCAAAGAGCACCGCTGATCATTGATTCTGGAGGACTGGAGTGGAGGAGAGAGGTTATTACACGTATATGCAAACATTTACACCAGGTAAAATAAGTATTGAACACATGACCATTTATCAAAGAAAATATATTTCTAAAAGTGATTTGACTTGAAAACTTCACCAGATGTTGGTAAGAACCAAAATAATACATATACATAAGGGAAACAAGACTATTTAGTTTAGGTTATGTGTAATAAAATTAAATGACAAAAAGAAAAAGTATTGAGCACATGAAGAAACGAAGGTGTAAAAAAAGCATGGAAAGCTCAGACAGCAGCTGAAATCTCCAACCCAGGCTCATTCTGATTATGTACCCCTATATACATGTTTGGAGAGAGAAAAATACATCCCTCGAGCCAAGTTTTTTTTTAAGCTTTTGTTTTCGCGGATCCATCAGAGACCGCTGTGTACACTTTTTCAGATCCTAAATTTATATCGTAAGTGCCCTTCGTGCCTGCTGTTCTCACGTAAATCCACCAGAGCACGCTGTTGGCTAACTGACTGACCAACTAACCAATCCCCCCACCTTCCCTCATTCCTAACCCAACCAATAAAATGTTAAAAAGCACCGATAGACCCATCTATCCCTTTCACTTAACCCAAACGCAGTGTTTTGAAAAGCAATCGAAAAAAATAAAGGCCCCCTGAGTTTTATCACATTTTCAGAATTAACACACTTTCACCCTGTTACTTAATTATTTAGTCTGCCAACATACGCGTCGAGACAAGAAACGGCATCATACCACCCCGTAGCGTTAATTTTAAAGACAAAATGCTGTCATACGTAGCTCTGGCTACATAATTTGCCAACACAGGCTCATTCTGAAAACCTAGTCCCGCGGACGTTTCTAGAGAAGCTATGGGGCGGTATGACGCTGTTCCTTTTGGCGCTTACCGGCTGATCACTTACCTCTGTGTGGAGGGCTTTCCCACCACAACCAGTTTGTCCAGTTAGCTTGTTGTGTACATTGGCGGACTTGAGACACAGAGAGGAGTTGACCTGGTCGAGGGGTTCAAATTCGGCAAACAAACAAACAAACGAGTAAACAAAAGGGTGAGAATGTGGTAAAATCTGAAAACGTGGTAAAAATCAGACGAGGGCTTTTTTTTCTGGACGGCTTTTGTAAACTGTCAGCTGGGTTTAAAGAAGTAAGCGGGCAGGCGGGTCAATTGATAAATTGGATTTGCGAAAACAAAAACTGCCAAAATACGTACCTCCCGGGACGTATTTCGTGGTCTCCAGAAACGTCCACGGTACTACGTTTTCAGAATAAGCCTGGGTTGTATTTGCCGTTTCCAGAAACGTAATTAAGGCTATGTTTTCAGAATGAGCATACAGTATATTAGAAAACTCTCAGGATTTTATTTAGCAACCCTGCATCTCGTCATTGTAAATTAATAATAGCTGCATCAGTTTTAACACCAACATTAGATGAAACCAGAGAGAAACCACATTTTAACAAGACAATGATCCAAAATTGATATCAATTGGTTTCAGAAAAGAAAATAAAGAATGGCTCAGCCAATCTCCTGATCTGTACCCAATGGAAAATTAGAATTAAAATCTGAGAATAGACGAGACCTACAGAGTAGTCAAGATTTGAAAACTCTGTTGAAGTCTGGGGAAATATCACTCCTGAACATTGCATTTGACTCTATTCTTCATACAAGAGACATCTTGAAGCTGTCATTACCAAAATACCCTTTTATACCAAGTATTAATTACATTTCAGTAGTTCAGCACTTCCTCCTTGTGTTGTTCCATGTTATTACACATAATAACTTTGTTTTTATTTAAATGCTTGGATTGATTGGGTTTTTTACCAAAATCTCAGTCAATTTCATATCAACCACTTCTTATATACTTTATATTTTAAAAAGGATTTACCAGAAAACAAATTATGACATTTCTAATACTTATTTTACCCACTGTATACATCTTACATTCAGTATCACATTATGTTACCTGATACTTTATGAGCATGTTGAAAAACTCGTCACTAGGTTCCTGTGGGCTACATGCTTCGCACAAGTGTCCCACATTGTTCTGTGCTATCCTGATGCCCAGCCGGTCTCCTATACTGGCTCTCTGGTCGTCCAGTCTGCGGCTCTGCGAACTGGCTATCAGGTCAAAGAACTCCTCTGTCTGGGTGAGGGAGATGAGGGATGAGGATCCAGACAATAAAGGGGACTGAGGCATGGAGGACTGGGGCCCAGACGAGGCCTCTTGGGCCTGGGCATTGGGCTGCTGAGGGTGCTGGCAGCGCCGGTTCTCCATGCCGCTGCTTCTGGGGTCTCTGAGCACAGTGAAAGGGCAGACCTCATTAGAGGTGACTGGGACTTAACCTTGAAAGGAATACAGAGCAGAAGATTTAGCCTTCTTGCGACGATGAATGAACAGAGGAACATTTATCATTCAGAATTTTTTGTTTAAAGAGATAGTTCTCCCAAAAATGAAAATCTACTCACTATTTACTCACCCTCCGATGGTTATAAACCTTAATGCGTTTTTATTTTCATTTATGTTGATCACAAAAGAAATATTTTGAAGAAAGCTAAAAACCTGTAACCATTGACTTCCATAGTTGGAAAAGCAAATACTATTGAAGCTAGTGGTTACAGGTTTGCATCATTGTTCAAAGTATCTTCTTCTGTGTGTAACAAAAGGGCTGCACAGTGGCTCAGTGGTTAACACTGTTGCCCACAGCAAGAACGTCGCTGGTTCGAGTCCTGGCTGGGCCAGTTGGCATTTCTGTGTGGAGTTTGCATGTTCTCCCCGTGTTCGCGTGGATTTACTTCAGGTGCTCCAGTTTCCCCCACAGTCCAAAGGCATGCGCTATAGGTGCATTGGATGAACTAAATTGGCCGTAGTTTATGAGTGTGTGTGAATGTGAGGGTGCAGAGGTGTTTCCCAGTACTGGGTTGCGGCTAGAAGAGCATCCACTGCGTAAAACATATGACGGAATAGTTGGCGGTTCATTCCACTGGGGCGACCTCTAAAATGGAGACTGAGCTGAAGGAAAATTAATAAATGAATAGTACTTATAAAGTCTGATCTTATTCTATACACCTAAACACAATTACTAACTTAACTTTTAATAAGCATTTGTAGTTTATTGAGTTAAAGTCTTAGCTAATGGTTTGTTAAAAGTGAACCTTAAAGGATCACTCCACTTTTTTGACAATATGCTCATTTTACAGCTCACTTAGAGTTAACAGTTTGACCATTTTTTAATAAATTCATCTGATTTCAGTGTCTGAAAATAGTTCTGAATTGTCTCTCATAACCTTGCACCTGCTGCAGACACGGTATGGCTGCAAAGTTCCTTGATTATTATGCTTAAATGAGAGTATAGTTCCTATATATTTTTTTCATTCACTTTTGTCAGTCGGTGAAGTTTGTTCCTCTCCACTGTTTCCACCAGCTTGCTTGGTTTGGGACTTGTGGAGCTGCGCATCTATGGATTTGCTCTTTAGTGTTTGGACTTTCAGCAAAACTATTATCTACAGTTTTCTAAACTGAACTAGGCAACGCGGTGGTGCAGTGGGTCGCACGTTTGCCTTACAGCAAGAAGGTCGCTGGTTCGAGCCTCGGCTGGGTCAGTTGGCATTTCTGTGTGGAGTTTGCATGTTCTCCCTGCATTCACGTGGGTTTCAACCACAATCCAATGACATGCGGTACAGATAAATTGTGTTGGCTAAATTGTCCGTAGTGTATGAGTGTGTATGGATGTTTCCCAGAGATGGGTTGCAGCTGGAAGTTCGAAAACATGTGCTGGATAAGTTGGCGGTTCATTCTGCTGTGGTGCTCCCGGATTAATAAAGGGACTAAGCCGAAAAGAAAATGAATGAATGAACTGAACTAAACTGAACTCTGAAAACTGGACTGACACAGTTTAAGTTTACTACAACTTCTATGTTAAGCTGCTTTAACACAATCTACATTGTAAAAGCGCTAATATAAAATATACATGCATTGAATTGAACTATATAGACACTTTTCATTTTCAGTCTTAGTTCATGAAGTTATCACAGAACAGTCAAGCTTCAAATTGGAAAAATATTGAAACCTTTTGTTCATTTTTTGGAGAGAGATGCTAACGGTCTAATACGTTTCAATTATGTATGCTAAGCTAAGCTAAAAGTGCTCTCGCCAGACCCAGAGATCGTCTGAATAGATTAAAAAACTGTTTAACTCTATGGGAGTTGCAAAATGAGCACAACAGGTGGCGTGTTTGTTTAAAATAAAGTGAGACCAATCATGCAAACTTGACGCACATTAAAAACTTTTAAAAGCAGGCTTTAAAATAGCATGATGCATGCATTTCAGCAAAGTTGGAATGAGTGAACATTTTAAACAAAAGAACAAACATTTTATACCACTTTGTTCCTTCTGTCAGTTATCACTAATCTTAAAAAAGTAAATAAAAGGAATTAAAGACAAACAGACATTTAACATCACACTAAACATTTGATATATTGCAACATTTAATCAACGAATATTTTAGAAATGACAAAAGTTTGACTTACAGTTTTATCCTTTTCAAATAAAATCCAAAAACCATAAAGTTCACAAAGGCGCTGTCTACGGGGACTTCATCTTAGATCCGCCATACACCAATTGCCACAGCCTCTGGCACTAAATGGTTTTCTTGGCAGACATGACAAGCGGACCTTACTCTCCCAAGACTGAAACATGCATGTAATTGAATATCTTCCAAATCTTCTCTAACAGAAAAATCTAAATAAATGTATGTTAAAAAATGGCTTATATTCCAGCATAAATGAGGATGACTTCCCTATGTTCCACACCCAGGTTTCCAATGTGCAGGGTTGTCTGTTTTTCGAGGGGGAGAGAAAGGGAGAGTGAGGGGGGGAGAGATAGAGAGAAATGGGGCGCAGTTGCCCCTCTCCGCTTACATCATGGTTGCTATAGGAACTGGAAATCGGCTTCCAAATCTCGCTCCCGTTGTTCACTCAAACACAGACATACACACACCAACAAGAACACACACTGTCTGGTGCACACACACACACACACACTGGCTTGCATTCCTGCATTGTTCAGTTCTATTCATCGCCTCCTGGGGGATCAGTTGCCTCTCTCTTTCCACAGTCAGGGAAACTAGAGCACAGTTATACCAGTACACAGTGGCCAAGATCACCGATGTATCTGTCATTTTCATGTCTTTCTTTGAAGCGATGGCGAGCCACTGTCGGCAGAGCACCAGGAGGAGGGGGTTGCTTGGAAGCTACCATAAGGAGGAGCCAATAACCAATGATTCTGGGACAAACCAAAGCAACATAATGTTGCCTGGGGCCCTTCGCCTGAAATGAATGGATGAATGCCACTCCATTTAGAATTCCCCAAGGCGAATAGAGCAGTCTTTCTTGAGATTCCCTCCAGCCCAGCTCCATGTGCCAGCCAGCAGGCAACTACTAGAGCAAGTCCAGTTCACCAGTGCTTTCCACTGCTCTTCAGTTCACCATATTACATGTGCTGTAGCTGGGTATTCATTTACAGAGTTCACATGTGCGTATATTTATCAGAGATTTCTTCCAGCTCCACCTGTACAACATAGGCTCATCGTGAAAATGTGCCCTCGTATACATTTCTGGAGAGTGCGAATTATGTAGCCAGAGCTACATATGACTGCATGTCGTCTTTAAAACGATGGCTTCTGTTTTTTTTTCATGCTACCAGCTGAATGATTACCTCCGTGTGGACGGATTTTCCGCTGTTAGCAGTTTGCTCAGTGGCTTGCCATGTTTGTCAGTGGATGTGAGACGCATTGACCTTGACAACGTGGTTTGAGTCTGGTGAAGAACCATTCCAGAAAGCAAGTAAAACAAAAACAAATGAAAAAATAAATAAAATAAACAAGTAAATAACAGTGTGAGAACGTGGTAGAGGTGAAAACATGGGATAAATCAGGCGGCCGCGAGGGCTTTTCTTTTTCTGGTTTGCTTTTGAAAATACTGTTGAATGTATTTAGGGAAGTCGGTGGGCGGATTAATCGGTGCTTTTGAAAACACTATTGGTTGGGTTTAGGGAAGGGGGTGAGTGGGTTTATCATTCGATCAGTCAGTCAATCGACAACGGTCTCTGGTGAATTCACGTGAGAACAGCACAAGAGAAATCTGAGATCTTAAAAAGTGTACACAGCAGCCTCTGGTGGATATACGGAAGAACAGCAGGAGCGACTGGCACTCACAAGAGAAATTTGAGATCTGAAAAAGCATACACAGCGGCCTCTGGTGGATTTGCGAAAACAAAACTGCAAATAAAAGTACCTCTTGGGACATATTTCGCGCTCTCCAGAAATGTATACTAGGATACGTATCAATAATGAGCCTGAGTTGAAATGGTATGTATGCCCAGCAGGGGCGCCGCTAAGGGGGGGGAAAGTTAGGATGATTCTCCTCACTTAGGTCCGCAACCAGGCCCGGATTGGCTAATCGGGAGGACCGGGAGAATTCCCGGTGGGCCGGTCCGTTTTTTGGCCGCGAGGGCCGGTGTCCCTAGCTCCAGAATCTGTTGCTCTCAGCAATCACACTTTTTAAATTTATTTATTTACTTGACCACAGCCTTTTTATTCATTATTATACCGCAACTCTTCTCTTTTGATCTATTTTAATGATGATAAAACTCAGTTGTGTCATCATTTTTAAAACAGTTGTTGTGGTCGAGCGAATAGCACGTTAGGTTAAGACGCCGCGGACCCGGGTTCGATCGTTAGTGTAATTTAGTGTTTTCATTTTTATTGATAAGACATATAATACTGTTAGGATTGTTGAACATTTGAAGTTCTAAAGCAGCTGTTTTCTCAAAAAAAAAAAAAAAAAAGACGTGATAGTGTCATTAGAAACTGATTTGGAAATATTTATTTATTTACTTATTTTAATATAGTCAGTCGTGAACTGAGGTGGGCCGGTCTGAGGCTTGAAACTCCAGAGCTGAAAAGGTGTCCCACTCCGGCCCTGTCCGCAACAACCATGGCACCTACCCCCACCAAGCTCTTCACTTACGTCCATGACACACCGCCACCCACCCCCCTTTGCTCTTCCCTTACATCCGCAACAAACCAACACCCCCATCCCGTTCTTCACTTACGTTCGCAACCTCACCCCTTAAACCCAAACCTCCAACCCAAAACCCCAATCAACCCCCCCCCGGTTCCCACTTAGTCTGCAAAGGGCTGTCAGAGGGCCTGTGGTGACCAGCTGCGTGCCTGATGCCCACCCTGATCACTCAAGGAAAAAAAACTATTTTAGTTTTTGTCTGTTTAGTAGCTAACTCAAACAAATTCATGTGAACTCCTTCCTACGCAAATTTACAATTTTTAAAATGAAGCATGTCACCCAACCCTGCCCCTAAACCCAACCATCATTTTCAAGCATTATGTATATATAAATACACATATGTGTATATGATACAAATAATACATTTATTGAAATATCTATTACATATACATAATAAATAAATATAGTACACACACATGTATAACCCAGGCTCATTCTGAAAACGTACCTCTATTTACATTTCTGGAGAGCACCAAATACGTCCCAGGAGGTATGTTTTTGTGCTGTTTTTGTTAGAGTCCACCAGAGGCCGCTGTGTATGCTTTTTCAGATCTTGAATTTCTCTTGCGAGTGCAATTCACACCTGCTGTTCTCGCATGAATCCACCAGCCACTGCTGTTAACTGACCAACCGACCAATACCCCTCCCAATGATTCCCTAAACCCAACCCATAGTGTTTTAAAAGCACTGACTGACCAGCGCCCACCCACTTCCCTAAACTAACAGTGTTTTAAAAAGCAATCCAGAAAAAGAAAAGTCCTCGCCTGATTTTTACTACGTTTTTACCCCATTCTTACCCTGTTATTTACCTTTTTATTTATTTTTTTTTTTTTGCTTTTTTTTGTCTTACCTGCTTTCTGGATCCGTTCTTCACCGCACTTTAACCTCATTGTTGTGGTCAACTCCTCTCTGGACAAATTGGTAACGGAAAAGACGTCCATACAGAGGTAAGCAGTCAGCTGGAAAGTGCAAAAAGAAACTGTGTCATACCGTCTTTAGTGTTCATTTTAAAGACGAAATGCAGCCATGCGTACTTCTGCAGATATTTCACAATCTCCAAAATTTTATAACGGGCTACCTTTTCAGAATGAGCCTATATTGCACATGTATAATGTCAAAACAAACTTTTATTTTAGATGCAATTGATTTCCTACCATCACTAATTTAATTACATTTTCTATAGATGTTCTACATGCGTCAAGTGGGACCTGCACATAAAATGCCCTTCCGGTAATTTGGCTCTAATAAAATATATATTTGTAAGACCACATGTTGCCGTTAAGCCAACAAGGTCTTTACGGTCTTTTGACGCACCACTGGAGTGAGAGCAAACATCACCCTCACTTAAATGCACTGCCAGAAGGAAGCTTTTCAACCCTCCATTAGGTAAGTGCTCTGCCAAACAGGAAAATCCATCAGCTTTTGTGAACAAAGTCATTGAGCCATACAGTACCTGTCCGACCGGCTGTAGCTCTCCATTCACACATTCAAGCTTTCCTGTTTGAACAGACAATATATGGTGAAGCATCTGTGTTGCATCATCGAGCAAACAAGTGCATCATCTATTTAACAGCGTTCTCTGGGTTCAAAATCAGGAAGCCGGTGTTACTTGGCCTTCTATGAAAATAGATTGTGTGCTAATATAGAATGTTCCCCCTGTAAGGGGTAGAACAAATGCTTGTTGAAGCACCCAGCAGGACGCCTGTGCTTGTGCACCTGCGCCCCCCTTATTATCACTGCACATCAAGCATATGAAAGGATTTTAGGGTTAATAAATCACTTTATGCCATCTATGGCTAAATTGAGACCCAGGACCACAAAATCAGTCAAATATTTGGAAATTGAGATACATACACTCACCGGCCACTTTATTAGGTACACCTTACTAGAACCCGGTTGGACCCCGTTTTGGCCTTTAGATCTGCCTTAATGCTTTATGGCAGGGGTGTCAAACGCAATTCCTGGAGGGCCGAAGCCCTGCCCCGTTTAGTTCCAACCCTGCTCCAACACACTCACCTGTAGGTTTCAAACAAGCCTGAAGGACTCAATTAGTTTGATCAGGTGTGTTTAATTAGGGTTGGAACTAAACTGTGCAAAGCTGCGGCCCTTTTGGAACTGAGTTTGTCACCTGTGCTTTATGGCATAAATTCAACAAGGTACTGGAAACATTCCCCAGAGGTTTTGGTCCTTATTGACATGATAGCATCACACAGTTGATGCAGATTTGTTGGCTGCACATCCATGATGCGAATCTCCTGTTCCACATCCCAAAGGTGCTCTATTGGATTGAGATCTGATGACTCTGGAGGCCATTTGAGTACAGTGAACTCATTGCCATGTTCAAGAAACCAGTCTAAGATGATTCACGCTTTATGACATGGTGTGTTATTCTGCTGGAAGTAGCCATCAGAAGATGGGTACACTGTGGTCATAAAGGGATAAACATGGTCAGCAACAATACTCAGGTAGGCTGTGGTGTTGCCTACCCGAGATTCTCACAGTATGATAACCTTGGATAAATATATCACGGTATTGAGATTACTGCTCTAAAATATATTCTTTTTAAATGTCAAAAAAACAAAAACTTTTTTTCATTTTGAGCTCAACATATTTTATTTTGTGAAAGATTTATAATATTTTGGAGCAGTAAACATGTCAGGCAAAATAATTCAAATGAATCATTGACTTCTGCTGTCTTCATTAGTTTCAAAAACACAGATTTCTTTACAATTTAAAACAACATCTTTGGATATTTCTTCTGCTGAAGACACTGTTCTCCTAAAAAACAGACAAAATGTAAAAAAAAATTACACATACCTTAGGAACGGTTTTACAGAAAATTGCGGTGGTTTTAAAATCTTGACTTTTCCAAATCGCGGTATACCTTGAAAACGGTTATTGTCCCATGTCTAGTTGACACAATGTTTAATTGGTACTAATGGGCCCAAAGTGTGCCAAGAAAATATCACCCACACCATTACACCACCACCACCAGCCTGAACCCTTGATACAAGGCAGGATAGATCCATGTTTTCATGTTGTTGATGCCATATTCTGACCCTACCATCCGAATGTCACAGCAGAAATCTACACTCGTCAGACCAGACAACATTTTTCCAGTCTTTTATTGTCCAATTTTGGTGATCCTATGTGAATTGTAGCCTCAGATTCCTGTTCTTAGCTGACAGGAGTGGCACCCAGTGTGGTCTTCTGCTGCTGTAGCCCATCTGCCTCAAGGTTGGATGTGTTGTGCATTCAGAGATGCTCTTCTGCCTTCAGTTGTAACGAGTGGTTATTTGAGTAACTGTTGCCTTTCTACCAGCTCAAACCATTCTGGCCATCCTCCTCTGAGCTCTGGCATCAACAAGGTATTTTCTATATTTTTTCTTTTTTTGGTATATTCTCAGTAAACCCTAGAGATGGTTGTGCATGAAAATCTCTGTATATAAGCAGTTTCTGAAATGCTCAGACCAGCCCTTCTGGCACCAACAACCATGCCATATTCAAAGTCACTTAAATCACCTTTCTTCCACATTCTGATGCTCAGTTGTCTACATGCCTAAATGCATTGAGTTGCTGCCATGTGATTGGCTGATTAGAAATTTGCATTAACAAGCAGTTGGACAGGTGCACCTAATAAAGTGTATATACATAATCTTAAAGGGGAATAAACAAGCTCTCCATTGATGTGTTTTTGTTTTTTTGTTTTTTTAGAATAGGACAATATTTGGTCAATAAACAAGTATTTGGAAAATAATTTCTGGTTTGGTCAATATAAGGGTTAATTAGTTTAAAAGAAAAAATATATAATTAATTGTGTGTTTTTAAAAAGTAAATTATATTTATTGTTTGACATGAGATTTCCCCCTTGCTTCGGATCAATTTACTTCTAACCTGGGGTAAATTGAACCTCATGAAAACATATCTTTAAAACACTTTGTCCAATAAGCATTATCATAATTTCAATTAAAATTGGACGTCCTGAAATTAAGTTAAATGCTTTTGTTGTACTTCTGCCTCTTCCCTTATCTTGAAGGATAGGTAATACTAATTTAATTTTCCTTTAGCTTAGTCCCTTTATTCATCTGGGGTTGCCACAGTGAAATGAACTGCCAAATTATGGAGCATATATTTTGATACCCTTTCAGCTGCAACCCAGTACTGGGAAACACCCATACACATTCATTCGCGCGCACACTACAGCCAATTTAGTGTATTCAGCTCAGTTATAGTGCTTTGGAGCATCTGGAGGAAACCTACACGAACACAGGGAGAACATGCAAACTCCACACAGAAATGCCAACTGACCCAGCTGGGACTCAAACCAGCAACCTTCTAGAGAGGAGAAAGTGCTAACCACTGAACCACTGTGTCACCAAGTAATGATTAATTCATTATTATTTTTATTATTATTATTTGTTTAGCATTTAAATAATCATACTTTTCTGTCAGCTGAGGGTAAAACGTGTTTAAATCTCATTTCCAGTGCACTTAGCCTCACGTCAGAGTGTGACTCATCTGCTGTGCATCATTCAGGATGTGCTTTCCTCCTGGACTCTTTAAATATAGTTGATCCAAATATATCTGTGCGAAAAGGATTTTGCACAGAGCATTTATCAAACAAATCCATATGCCACGCATCAAAGACACTTTAACGTCCTCAGGCTGTGAATCATTCCCGAAAGTTTCCACAAGATGACACTCTTTGTTACTCCCCTCAAGATGAAACAAAGGCTCAAGTCGTTCTTGATTTTAACTGACATTTATTCGGACACGAGTCTGTAGTATGTCTTGTACATTCTAGCCTTGCACTCCTTTATGTCCCAATATTGCCGTCAGAACTACGAAAAGAAATACATAAACTTCAATTAACCCTTTAAAGGTGATGTTGCACGTAATAAACAACATACATACAAACAAAAGATAAAGTGCACATTCAACATGTAAAGAAATACACTTAATTGGCTAATTATACATTACATACGGACACATAATCATACACGTTCACATACGTTAACACCATACAACACATACCTCATTGGCCTCTCTAACTCAAGAGGAATAAACTTGAAGGGTTGCAGTTTCTCTTTAACAAACTTCTTTGTACTTTTGAATCCTTAAAAACGTGTTTTAGCACAGCACCTTGTGGCTGAACTACTTGTAGTGGATCGGAAGAATATCTTCATTGCAACAATGAAATAATTCCCAAGCTAAACATAACAAGAAAAGGTTCCCCCCTCCCCCTTATAGTTTTAGTTAAATAACTTTAAATGAATTAACATGCAATAACAACAAATGTACATTACTTATTTATTCTAATGATTAATTTGAACATTTTAACTATTTATTGACCTTTTAATGTAAAGTTTTTGTTTATAGAGTGTAATATATAAGCATTGCTTCTGACGGCAGCTACACTCCCACCAATCACTTGTGATTTCCAGAATGAAATTTGAACTGTGCTAATCAGCTTCCAGTAATGTGACAGTCTTGTGGATTGGCCTTACTAGATGGACAGGTTTACTCAGTTTCCTTCCATGGTTATCTAATGTGGAGTCACTTATTAGTAGCTGCACTTTTCGTATGCAGCCATCTTGACTTGGGTAAACAGCAGTAACTTTTGCCAGCTTCCAATCATTTCTCTGCATTGTATCATCTTGTATTATGACGATGTCATTGACTTTCGCATTTCTGTTTGTTTTGTGCCACTTTTGTCTTTGTTGTAGGCTCAACAAATATTCCTTTTTCCATCTTTGCCAAAATTCGTTAGCCAGATACTGCACTCGACGCCATCTTTTACGAAGGTAAAGGTCTTCCTTTACAAAATCTCCTGGTGGAGGCAGTATTATTGACGATTTCATTGTCAAAAGAAGGTTGGGTGTAAGTGGTTGTGGTCCAGTAGGATCGTTGAGTAATTGTGTTGTTATGGGTCGGCTATTTACGATTGCCATCACTTCATATAGATATGTTCTTAAGGATGAACTATCAAGTGTTCTAGATGATTGATCCAGAATGGAATTCAACACACTTCTGATTGTTCGGATTTGCCGTTCCCAGGCTCCACCCATATGGCTGGCAGAGGGTGGGTTCATGACAAACTCACAGCCTAGTTGGTTCAGACATTCCTGGTCCATTTCTTTCACTGCTTCCAACAACTCACGCCTTGCTCCAACAAAATTGGTGCCTTGGTCTGATTGCAGCTGACGAACGTTTCCACGTAAAGCAATGAATGCCCGAAGTGAGTTAAGGAATGCATCAGTTGATAAATCATCAAGTAACTCTATATGTACTGCACGAGAGCACAAACATGTGAACAGCAGCCCATAGCGCTTTAGTTCCCTTCTTCCCTCCTTGATGTAAAATGGACCGAAACAATCCATCCCACAATATGTGAAGGGAGGAGTTGTCTCCATTCTTTCGCTAGGCAGGTTTGCCATCCTTTGTTCTTCTGTTTGCCGCCTGAATTTTCTGCATTTGACACAGTTGTAGATAAATGATGATACTGCTTGACTACAGCCGAGAATCCATATGCCATTAGATCTCAGTTCGTTTGTGGTCATGCCACGCCCTTGATGTTTCACTTTCTGATGATAGTGATCAATCAGTAACTTGGTGATATGACTGGTTTTTGGTAAGATAAATGGATGCTTGACATTTGGGTGTAAAGTTGCATGCTCTAATCTTCCTCCCACTCTGAGGATGCCCTTGTGGTCCAAGAAGGGATTGAGTCGATACAATCTGCTTGCTCTGTCTTTAGTAATTAACTCCTTCTTGGAGTGGAGTTCCTTGATTTCTTTGGAAAAGACTAATCCTTGTTCAATGGCAATAACTAAGTGTTCAGCTTCTTGCCTTTCTTCGAGACTTGTAGCTTTGTTGGTTCGCTTTATTGAGCCCTTCAACTCCTTTACAAATCTGATTAGTCTTGCAATAGCTTTAACTAACTTTGTCCAGCTGGAGAATTTGCTGAAACGTTCTGCCAGAGAATTCTCTGTTGTCAATGTGTGGTGTACAAGAACTTTGCGTACCTCTGGGTCATCTGTGTCAAGATCTCCCACCTTAATCTCTCCAGTAGGAAGTGAATCTTCCCAAAGAAAACTTGGGCCACTAAACCAGTTGGAAGCAATGAGTTCTTTAGATTTGAGACCTCGAGACGCATGGTCAGCAGGGTTATCTTCTGATGCAACATACTTCCATTGTGTTGGTTTAGTACTTTCCTTGATTCGTTGGATACGGTTTGCCACGAAAACATGAAAACGCCTCGCTTCATTGTTTATATATCCCAGGACAACCTGAGAGTCTGTCCAGAAGAACTCTTGAACATTTTCCAACTCCAGTTCTCCTTTGAGCATGTCACTTATGCACACCGCTACTACTGCTGCGGACAGCTCCAATCTTGGTACAGTAGTTACCTTGGTGGGTGCTACTCTGGACTTTGCAATGACAAGTGAACAGTGGATTCGTCCTGATCTACTGACTGCTCTTAGATACGTACAGACACCATATCCTGCAACACTTGCGTCTGAAAAATGGTGGAGTTCATATCTCTGAACTTCTTGAAAATCTGCTGGTAGATAGCAGCGATCAATCTTGACATGCGCAAGGTCCTTTAGATCTGTAAGCCAGGACTCCCACCGTGACTGAAGCTCATTTGAGAGTGGTGTGTCCCAGTCTGACTTGTCACGACACATTTGCTGTAGAATTTGCTTGCCAAGCAGAACGAAAGGCGCCACAAATCCAAGTGGGTCGTAGATGGAAGCTACAGTTGACAAGACTCCTCGTCTGGAGAATGGACGCTCACTAACTACTACTCGAAACTGGAAATGATCTGAAGCAACACTCCATTTAACCCCTAGAGCTCTTTCAATCAGTTGCTCGCCCAGTGCTAGATCTTGGTTTCTTACTGTCTCTACACAATCTTCTTTAGGGAGAGATTCAAGAACTTGTGGGCTGTTAGAAACAAACTTATGCAGTCGCAATTTTCCAGTACTGCAGAGTTTTTTCGCTTCATGGACTAAACGAATAGCCTCTTCTTCGGAGTGGAAACTGATAAGGCCATCGTCCACATAAAAGTTCCTTTCAATGAATCTTATAGTTGCTTCACTGAACTGGCCTCGACCTTGTGCTGCAATGTACTTGAGACCAAAGTTTGCACAAGCCGGTGACGAAGCAGCTCCGAACAAATGAACTCTCATTCGGTAGACTGATGGACTTAAGTGAAAATCTCCATTGTCCCACCACAGGAAACGGAGGTAGTCTTGATCTTCGGCCCTGACTCTAAACTGGTGAAACATACGTTCTATGTCACACATCACTGCCACTGGACCCTTGCGAAACCGACACAAGACACCTATCAAGGTATTGGTTAGCTCTGGCCCTGTGAGCAGATGATCATTTAATGACACACCTTTAAATTTGGCCGAACAATCAAACACTACTCTTATTTTCCCTGGTTTTTGGGGGTGGTACACCCCATGATGCGGAAGGTACCAGGTAGAGCTTTTGTCAAGTTCTTCAAGTGGAACTCTTTTTGCATCTCCACGCTCTATAGTTTCATTCATGAATGTTGTATAGTCGTTGCAATATTGTTTGTCTCTTTCAAGTCTTTTCTTAAGACATTGGAGTCGGTGTTCTGCACAGCTTTTATTGTTTGCCAGACACGGCCTGTCCTCTTTAAATGGCAATGGTAGCTCACAATGTCCGTCTGCTGTTATCCTTACTCCTTCTTCCATTATAGACAAAAATCGTCGATCCTCTTGGGAGAAGTGAGACTCTTTCACCTTTCTTTCACTGAAATCAGATTCAAGAACTTTAATCACGTCTGGTGGTGTGATTATTTCTTTGACTTGTGTGCGACAAATGTAATGGACTTCATTTGGCAACTGATCTGATGACAACTTGGGTGTCACTTCCTTAACAATAATCCTGTGGCTGCTTCCCATAGCATCACCATAGTCAACACAAGGGTCAGCTCCACCGACTATTGTCCAACCCAAGTCTGTTCTTTGAGCGAATGGCTCATTGTCTTTTCCTGACACAACTTCTCTAGGTAAAAGCGCTTGTGAGCAGTTGTAACCTATGAGTAACCCAACATCGCATTCTATAGGAGGGGCAATCTCTTCAGCAAGGTGCTCTAAGTGGGGCCATGCTCTTGCTGTCTTAGGAGTGGAGATGTGATTTAGATTTGCAGGAATAAATTCTCTTGTGTATGTTACGGGAAGAAGAATTCTCTTTGAGGAATAGAAGCCTCTGACTTGCAGCCCAGACAGCCTTTCACTTTGGATAACTGAATCTCTGGTTGACAGTGTAGAAAGCTTTAACTGTACATGCTTCTTGTCAGCATCCAGACCATCTGCCTTTTCTTGTAAAATGAATGTTGTGTCACTCTGACTATCTAGAAGAGCATACACCAGAATTTCATGTTCTGGGTTGTTTGTTGTAGATAACCAAACTGGACTGATTGTAGATGTGAGGTTACTACCATTATTTTGAACTACACGGTGTGATATTGTCTCACATGGTATTTCTTTGCTTTGTTTGCTTTCCTTTGTGTCTTTTATGCCTTCTTTATTCTTTCTGATTTGTTTATCCCGTTCCTCATGTAAACAGGTTGGGTGTTTCCCTTTGCATGTGTCACAAACACTTCTCTTTCCACATTTCTTTGAATGGTGTCCAGGGTTAAGGCACCCAAAACATAATCCCTTTGTTTGCACGAACTTGACTCGCTCCATTATTGACTTGTCCATAAACTGTCGACATGTGTGAATGCTATGGTACAATTTGTCACAGAAAACACATTTCTGTATATTTGGTTTCTCCTCTGCAGCACTTGCCAGCACCTTAGTTCCGATACTTCGAGTCTTTGTAGGCTTAACTTTTTCTAAGTCACTTCCCTTGAGTGCATGTAGTGAAGTTACTGGGTTGCACGCAATCTTGGCTTCTCTTGTGATAAAGTCCACAAAGTTACTAAATGTTGGAAAGGAACCGTGCTGCTCTTCAATCTCAATCACTTTTCTATTCCATCTTGCTGTTAACCAATCTGGAAGCTTACTTAGTATTTTCTGATTTTCACTGCAATCATTTAAGACATCAAGATTCTTGATTTGTAGCATAGCAGCTTCACAGCCTCTGAGAAAATCAGAAAACTCTCGTAACTCAGAACTGTCTTTTGTTCCGATTTTTGGCCATGAATTTAGCTTATCTCTGAAGGCTTTGGCGATCACAAATGAACCTCCATATCTTTCTTCAAGAGTGTCCCATGCCGCATAATATGCTTCATCCGTGCCCAGTAGAAAGTAACTCTCAACAGCTCTTCTGGCTGGTCCACCCACATACTTGCGGAGATAGTAAATCTTTTCATTTACTGGGATGTTTTTCCGATCTATCAGTGTCTGAAAAGACATTTTCCAGTCTTTGTACTTGAGTGGGTCTCCATTGAATACGGCAGGCTCTGGTACTGGTAGACGGCTTATATTAATGGATTCTGCTAATGCTCTAGCCAGAGCAGTAGTGCTATCTTCTTGTGTAGCATTGTTCGGAAGTTGACACCTTGTGGTCTGTGGTAAAGCGGAAAACTGATGCAGTTTTACAGTAGGTTTTGATGGTGTTAGCAGAGGTTCAGGCAAACTTCCTGGCTTAGGAGCAGCTTTCCTTTGTTTAACATTGTCATGTAGGAGGTCTGAGATTTCTTCATCTGAATTAATTTCTTCCTCGTACACTTTCAGTCGTGCCTTGGCAGCATTCATTTTCTTTACAGTTTCTAGACGTTCTAGCTCTCTTCGCTTCTGTTCTAATGCTTTTAGTTTTTCAGCATTTTCTGCTTCTTGTATTGCTAACCTTTGCCGGTTTTCTGCTTCTAGATTTTCAAGCTCGTTTCTTTCACGATCCATTTCCTCCATAACTTTAAGAGCAGCTTCAGTTGCAGCTAATTCAGCTGCTGCTTCTTGTTTCTTTACAGATAATCTGCTTGAACTTGAATATGTGCTTCTTGCACTCTTAGATTTTTG